AACTAACTTTTTCTGTTTTTACTAGAGATAGGGTCTCGCTCTTGCTCAGGCTCGTTTCAAACTCCTGACCTCAAGCAATCCTCCCGGCTTGGCCTTCCAGAGTGCTAGGATTATAGGCGGGAGCCACAGCACCCAGCCTGAATTTTTCTGGTTTTAAATTCCTTTGGCTCACCTTGAAGTTGAACACTAGAAAAGTATAGTTCATATCTGTGTGCATAATGAGTACAGCCATTATTTGCCAGATGAAAGAATAATGCTACTCACAAGAAAAGCTGGTAGTTTAAGGCTCCTGGAGCTCAATTGTGAACTGTACATCCAGGATAAACCTCTTTCATTTGAATTAGTCATCCCTTAGTAGTCTGTTAGTTATAAAGTGGGGGGATTTCTGACCTAATGGGAAAGATCACAAGTCTGGAAAAAACTAGTTTGGGTTCTTTCTGTGGCTGCTATGTTAGCTATATGACCAAGGGCAAGGCTTGGTTTCTTTATGGAAATACATGACATATCATTTCATTTGATTCTTTCAATAACTTTATTAGTGAGGAACAATGGCAGATAGGTAGAATTAGGTAATGACTGAGAATTGACCAATGGATTTTAGCAATTTGGAAGTCATTGGTGAGGTTAACAAAAGCACTTTCTAAGCATTTGGTGGGAGAGTGGTAATAACCCAAACATCAAGTAAACTTGAATGAGATTGGAAGTAGAGGAATTGAAGATAGGAAGCATACATAACTCATACAAGGACTTTTACTGTAAAGGAAGCAAATGAGGTGGTGGTAGACGAAATGGGATACAGGCTCAAAAGAAGGTTTTTTTATAACGTGCTGACTGGGGAATGATCCAATAGAGTCAGAATATTTTGGTATAGTAGGATAAATTGGAGGATTAATCTTAGAGAAGAGCATGATAGTTCATTCACAGTAATAAGAGTTGGACAAGTAAATGTGTAGAGGTAGTGGGTATTTGGGAGTTCTAAATGCTTCCATTTTCTACATGAAATAGGAATCGAGGCCATCAGCTCATTCCACAAAATATCTATTGAATACCTGCTTTGAGTTAGGTGTTCAGTACAGTGTATATAAAAAGAATAGATGAGAACTGAGGGTAGCATCAATCTTTGGAAATTCTAGCCATCTTCAGAAATTCAAGGCAGTGTTGCTGGTGGTGTTAGTTGTGGGGAGATGAAGTGGTCAAGGTCACGTGGGAACTTCCTGGAGTAGATGAGTGGGCATAGTTAGGCAGAATGTTTTATTGTTTTTAACACCTGTTCCTTCCACACAGAAAAGGTCTGAGAAGATTAAGGGAAGTAACTGAGAATGGATATAGTGCAGGGGGGAGTAAAGTTGCATGCTGTTTTTTTCTTTGTTATTATTTTTGTGAGAAACAAGGTCTTGCTATGTCTCAGGGTGGACTTGAACAACTGGGCTCAACTAGTCCTTTCCCTTTGGCCTCCCAAGTAGCTGGGTCTGTAGGTGTGTGCCAGGTTATTTTCTGTGTTTTTAGTGAAGTTGGCTTTTGGTTACTATAGAACAGGCTTTGTCAACCTTGGCAAAGTTCACATTTTAGGCCTGAGTTGTTAAGGTTGAAGATCTCTTCTGTGCATTGTAGGATGTTTAGCAGCATTCCTAGCTTGTACTTAGTAGATATTAATAATGTCCACCAACCCTGCTGTGACAAACAAAATGTCTTTGAATATTGCCAAATGTCCTTTGGATGGCAAAAGTGCGCCTGATTTGAGAACCATTGGTACAGATATGTTAAGAACATGGGCTTTTTCAGCTAAAGCACTGGTGTTCAAATCCTAACTCTAATACTATTTGAAAGACCCCTACTTAGAAAATTTACTTAAGTTCTCTCTGCTTTAAAATGATGAAAATAGTAACCTATCTCATAGAGGTATGAAAATTGAATTAGTTAATGTGTGTGAAGCATTTAAAAGTCACTGGCACATAATAAGTGCTAAGAATTGCGTCCTTCCATGAGAAAGTATAGAACAAATAAAGTATCGGAATGATTCAGGCTTTTAAATTGGTAGGGTAAACAAGGGAGCCTAGGTCTTGAGATTTATTTTGATACCTGGGGTTTGCTAATGTCATTTGGGGATGTGATTGGTCATGCAGCCCAGGGAAAGCAAGCAATGCATCTACAAGTTGCTGATGGGCCTGAAGAAAAGGAAATGGTTTTTCTCTGAGATTGAATGGTAGGATTAGTGAGACAAGAAGGAGAAAGAAAAGAAAGTTAAGTGTAAAGTAGGATGGTTATTTGGTTGTTGGGAGAGATAAAAAGGCAAAGATTATTAGGTGGTTTTGAATGCAGGCAGATTATGGGCTGCTACAGCAGAATTGTTTTGTAATTGATTAAGGGATCATAAGGTTAGTGTATTGGATTGGGTTGTTAGTTTGGCTGTTGAAGATATCAGGAATAATTGATGTGTGGATGATGCCTGATGACAGTGTGTTTAGTGGATATGTGAAGGTGGCCTGGAGGAAGAGGATGGCATTTCTAAATAATATAACTTCAAAAAAGAAGGGGCAGTAAAATAACTTGATAAACAAGGGAATTGTGAACTCAGGTTACCAGATCAATCCACTTCCCAACATTATAATGAGGTTTTAAGAGAAAATTTGAGGGAAAGTTAAAATTAGAAGGTTATTCTCAAATATTTAATTTTTTCTTTTAAACCAGGGGAACTTCTGTTGCAACTGTGTCGTTTGGAAGATGCTGCGGATGTTTATAGAGGATTGCAAGAGAGAAATCCTGAAAACTGGGCCTATTACAAAGGCTTAGAAAAAGCACTCAAGCCAGGTAGTATTGTTTAAAACTGAGTTTCTAAATTTTAATTGCTGATTTTGTTAATACATATTTTATTAACTCATTGAAAAGCACAACTAGGAAAATACTGGTTGAGAATTGGTTCAAACTCTGAATACAAAAGTACAGTTGCAAACTTCTGTTTAATGTGGCAGGTTGAGCATGTTTTTAAACCTCTCTTCAACTACAAATTCAGAGAAATGGTTGAGAATTGTAGAAACAACTTTAGAAAAAATTCACAAATGCGTAGTAGCATCAAAAACATGAAAGGGAAATTTCCACTGACAGAAATGGACATATCTCCCTAAAGGAAAGAAGCAAACATAATCTTTGCTAAGCTCTGACTGCAGCAGTGACCTGCCAGGGTCACATGAATGTAGCCATGCTGCATGAGCAGCACTGTTCCTTTGTGGGAAGAGGGGTTAAATTTCCATCACTCAAATAAACTTGGGTACAGAGACTCTCTGTATGCCCACGCTTCCCTCCACCCCTCCCCACATTACCTTCTCTAAATGCAGTCTACTTGTGAGCCATGGATATGTACAAGAGAAGCCTCTTGCTGCAGATTACTTTGTAGCAAAGATTCTTAAACTGTCATAGAAACACCAGCAAGGAACGGTTAATCATGACTACCTGCAAAAAAAGAGTAGAGGTGATAGGAGAATCTAAAAATGAATAGAAGGAATTGTAGCCATGAAACATGAATAGTTATGAAAAGTACCAATTAAGAATATGCAAAATGAAAAACCTACTTATTGAAATAAAAATCTTAATGGACTGAATAGAAGAGAGGCCACAGCTGAGGAAAAATTAGTGAAGTGGAAGATTAAACTGAGGAAAGCTCTCAATGTTTGCACTGAGAGTAAAAGATAAAATATAAAAGAAATATGGAAAAATGGAAGATAGGGGATATATTCAAAAGCTCCAGAATGAATCAGAGGAGAGGAATTAGAGGGAAGAAGCTAAAGAAAATACAAGCAAAATATGGAAACATGATAACCAAAACTTTTTCAGAACTTAAAGTAAAGGAGTTCTCAGATTTTGAAAGCCTACCTAAAGCAGAACAGGATAAAGAAAATTATGTATTTTATATGATTATTTTGAATAAGAAATATTGGAAAGAAATAGTCTGGCTGGGTTCAGTGGCTCACGCCTCTAATGCTAATAATTTGGGAGGCTGAGGTAAGAGGATCCCTTGAGGCCAGCAGTTTGAGATCAGCCTGGGCAACATAGGGAAAGCCCATCTCTACAAAAAATGTTAAAAAATTAGTTGGGTGTGGTGGCACAGCCCTGTAGTTCTCACTACTCTTGTGGGTTAGGCAGCGGGATCACCTGAGCTCAGGGCCACTTGAGTTCAAGGCTGCAGTGAGCTATGATCCCATCAGTATACTCCAGCCTAGTTAACAGAGCAAGACTGTCTGTAAAAAAATTTAAAAAAAAAGAGATAGATTCTGGAATCATTGTTTATTAGGATGGTAGGATTATAAATAATTTTCTTTTTATCTTCAAATTTTCTTTTTAATATTATAATTTTTATATACTTTGAAAAATTTGTAATTTGCCAGAAAAATATACAGTTTATAATTACATATAAAATTTTTTCCTTTGCAGCTAATATGTTAGAAAGGCTAAAAATTTATGAGGAGACCTGGACTAAATATCCCAGGGGACTGGTGCCAAGACGGCTGCCATTAAACTTTTTATCTGGTAAGTGAGAATAATTGCAAAGGAATGAAAATGGTGCTATGATTTAAAGTTTCTTTTCATGGGTTGGACATGGACTCATGCCTGTAATCCCAGCACTTTGGGAGGCTGAGTTGGGAGGATCGCTTGAGTCCAGGAGTTCGAGACCAGCCTGGGCACCATAGGGAGAAACCGTCTCTACCCAAAAAAAAATTGTGAATAAAGTTTTCTTGTCTTGGTTTTAAGTATGAGTATGCATATTAAGATTAGATGCATTGTTAGAGTTGTCTAACAAATCAAGTAAATGTAAGTTACCAAATGTAAGTTAGTAAGTGTAAATTAGTAAATCTAGTTAGTAAATGTAAGCCAACAGGATTTTTCTCTTCCAAGGTGAGAAGTTTAAAGAATGTTTGGATAAGTTCCTAAGGATGAATTTCAGCAAGGGTTGCCCACCAGTCTTCAATACTTTGAGGTCATTATACAAAGATAAAGAAAAGGTAAAGTAAAATATGGTTTCTTTTGGCTATCATTTGCTCAGAATTTGGAATAAATGGTTGATTCTTGATTATCTGTGCACAATAGCACATCTTTTGTGAATCTGGTTTCAGTCTTCCTAGCTTGCTCTTTAAATGCTTCTAATGCCTCTTTTTTCCTTTTCATCTTCCTTTTCTCTTTAGCCCAGTAACTTGGTGCTTGTTTTCTGTCTTTTGCTTCTGCTATGTACTTTAATAAGTGTAGGTTATGAATAGTTGGTAAAGCAGTGATTTCTCCAACATTTTTTCTAATCCTTGTTCATGGTCAGAAGTCAAGTTCTATCAGAAAAGTTTGTATACTGTTCTAGTAAGTCAGCTTACTTTTTCAGCTATGTTAACAATATTCAAGATGCTTGTTAACAGGGTATTTTAATCTTAATTTAGATTAATTTGCTTGTAAGTACAGTGTCATCGGGACATGTTGATTGGATTAAAAAATCAGTTACATTGAAGAATCAGATGGGGCAAATTAAACATGCTAAACACTTTAACCTGAAGCACATAATGTGCATTTATTTGCTGGTCTTTTGTTGAGAGGCCCAAGGTATGGGCTTTAATTGCTTTTTCACTTTCTTTCCTTGCATAAATCACATCCATAAAATATCTGTTATTTCCAGTTTGGGAAAAGTGAGAATTTGATGATTGTGAAGCGGTCTTAAGTATGGAATCTTGTATTTTTATGATTTTCTTCTATTTATGGTTTTCTAATTTACACCTAAAGTGGTTTAAAATATCTACTTTATCTTTTGAGTTTTTCCATGATATTCAATGTATAGAAGCAGTTCTTTTTGTTTACATTTCTTAAGTTTGCATAATATTGAATTAAATTCTGCCATTATGATTATAAATGCAACTGATTCAAACAGGTTTGGGAAAACAAAACTGGGTCTTACTAGGCATGTAGCTCAACTTGTGGGAGGAGAACATGGGTGCACCAGAATAACCTAGCTGCAACCATTCAGTTTAACTGTTGAGCCAGTTAAGTTGAGGTCATTTAAGAGAACCTCTATAGTAATAGAAATTTATTAAAGATGGATTAAGCAAAGAAGGGAATTCATAAAATGTATTCACAGATCTTTCAGGAAGCCAGGAACTAGTAATATAGTCAAGACTCAGGAGAAACCAGAACCTGGACAGCCACTCATTCTTCTGTACCTCACACCCACCCACTGTTCTGTGTTTCAGTTTTACTAATGTTTTCCTTGAGTTGTGAGGGTTGAATGCTATCATTTACTTATGATTTTCTCTTTTTATATAGCATTTAATTCTTGAGTCTTAAAGAGGAGATGTTAACTGCAGGTGCTAAATATATGATTGTAGATAAAAATGAATCAAGGTGTAAGTCATCTATAATGTTGCTTCTCTTTCCTGATTTCTGGTTTAGCTGATGCTGTATTTTCTAGCAGGGAGAAGGAATATACCAGTAAATTTTCAGAAAGTTATGTCTTAATGCACACCTGTACAAATACATGATTCATTTAAAAATTTTTATCCACAGGTTAAGGATTTTTAAAGGGCTATACATATGTTGGTTTATTTAGTCCTTTAATAGAAAATAACACATTTTACACAGAAATAATAACTGTACTTTTTCTATTGAAGTATTCTTGTTTGTTTGTACTCTAGGTGGCAATCATAGAAGAATTAGTAGTAGGTTATGAAACCTCTCTAAAAAGCTGCCGGTTATTTAACCCCAATGGTAAGTGCTCAAGTTTTATGTTTTAAAAATATCTTGAAAATTGTAATACATTATGAAGTTCTTAAATATTATTAAGTTCTTTACTGTGATTAATTAGTTAGGCAGTAAGCATAGTGCATTTAAATTTTTTCCCACTAATTTGTTCATTGTGTGATAATTTGGTTATAAGAGAATTGTATTAGTTTATTGGAAAAAAGTTTATGTAAAATTTAAAACATTTAGAAAACCAGACGTAATAATTTAGTGATCCTCCGTTTACCCAGCATTCAGCTTCAATCATTTTTAATTCATGATCAAACTTATTTTTATCTATATCTTCACCTACTTTTTTCTACTCCCATATTATTCTGAAGCAAATTGCAAACATCGCATTATTTTCATCCATGAATATTTCTAAAGATAAGGACTTAACCCAAAACATAACCATAATACCATTATAATACCTGAAAATTAATGCTTAGTATCAAATATCCAGTCCATGTTCACATTTGCAGTTATATTATAAAATGACATATTTTTTTCCTTTCCTTTCCCTTTCTGAAGTTTGTTTGACTGAAGATCCAGATAAGATTTATACCGAGTTGGGTTGGTGTCTTCTAAGTCTTTTTTAAAATCTATACATTTCTCATCCATCTCTTTTCCTACAATCTATTTGTTGAAGAAAATATTTTTTGTTTTTAGTTTTCCCAGTCTGGATTTTACTGAATGTACTCCATGTTTTGTTTAACACATTATTCCTTCGTCCTCAAAATTTCCTGTAAATTTATCATTTCATGTAGAGGTGTGCTGCCTAGTATGATAGCCATTAGCCACAGTGGCTAATTAAAATTTTTTAAAGTAAAATAAAATATAAATTTCATCCCTCAGTTGCTGTAGCCACATTTCAAGTGTTTCTCAATAGCCATATAGATAAATAATGCCTACTATATTGGACAGGGCAGATACAGAACATTTCTGTCATTGCAGAATCTTCTAATGGATAGGTCTGGCTAGAGGATTGATGAGATTTAATTTTTCTTGGTGGTTTTACCTTTTTTTTTTTTAAAGCATAAGAGCAGTGAGCAAGAGTATTTTTACAGGTGGTGGTGTGTTCTTCTGTCAGTAGGCATATAGTGTTTGTTTTATACATTAACAACTTTTAGGAATTACCAGCTGGCGATACTCTATCATTCTTTATTATCTTAAAAGAGAAATTTCCCTTAATCTCTTATCTGCTCACCTAATATCTCCATTTGTATAAGAAAAGCATGATAAATGTGGTTTTTTTCCTCCTACTTCCTACCTTTTTTTAAGTTCTTTACCAGTTTTCAAAATAATGAATTGGTTCAGTAACATCCTATAAGAGAACAAATACATTTTTAGAAAGTATTATTATGAATTCATGGATTTAAGCATATTTGATGTTTTAAATCTCATGTGGTTCCATTCTTTACATAACCATGGTAGCAGTTGATAGCTTCCTTGCTGTTTGATACAAGATATTTGAGTTTATCTTGTATGCTGCCACTGCAGATCTATAATCAGTTCTTCTTCCAAGGAGCTCTGGTTCCTGTAATGGGAAATCCCAATGTGGGACCTGGGGTGCTCATTGCTATTGGGTTGGTCATTGTTTGTAGGTCTCAAATTAATTTTAATAGTACTTTAAAAAAGGCATTACCATGGTTTCATTGGTTAATCATCATGATGTTCCTTTGATTATCAGCATTTTCCTACATATTTTACAAATGTGGAAGAGGTTCAGTGACATGCCCAAGAATATGCAGCACTTTTGTTGCAGATCTATCAGATGATGGGGAGTTGGTGAGTTCCACTCCTATTGTTTGTCCACTGAGCCATCCTGCTTTTTACTAGGAAAAAAAAAAAAGCAATCTATTGCCTTCTTTGAAAGTAAATAACAGTTCTCAGACTTTAGAAATTTGTATTAAAGAATTTTTTAATGTGTGGGTTGTATATTTAACTTACACATTTTCTTGTGAGGATATTAAAATTAAATCATGAACTAAAATATAGAATAAGAATTTTTTACTTGTCTGATTTTTTGAGTGTAGTTTTTATTCAGTATAAATTGTGCATTTTTGCATGTTCAGCATAATATTAAATTCAGTAGAATTTGGTGATAAATGTAGTCACCAAAATTCAAAATAACCACATCACAAGTATATTTATATACAGTTTAGTGCATTAGCTAGAAACTCAATTGAGCAGTCAGGACTTTTATTTTTTTTTAATCACACATTAGTGGAAAATGTCTTTTGAGTTTTTTTTCCCCACTCATAAATAACAGCCTGATCAGTACACTCTCATAGTTCTAGTACAACTTGTCTTCCCGGCATCCATTTTGCTCTCCTTTTTAGGTAGTTAATATCTTTGATCTTATTTATCTGCCATATTTGTTATATAAAGTTCTTATTATATGCAAGGCATTGTGCTAGAGCTTATAAGAATACAGAATAGAAAACATGGTCCCTTCCAAAGATCTTATAGACTTAGGGGTAGTTTTGTGGCTTGATACATAAACTGCCTTCCTTATTAATAAATACAGACATCATTTTGGGAGAGGTACTCTTAATATATGTAATGCCTAACATGGTTTCTTCCCTCTCTCTTCCTCCTCCTTTGCTTTTTAAAGATGATGGGAAGGAGGAACCACCAACCACATTACTTTGGGTCCAGTACTATTTGGCACAACATTATGATAAAATTGGCCAGCCATCTATTGCTCTGGAATACATAAATACCGCTATTGAAAGTACACCGACGTTGATAGAACTCTTTCTTGTGAAAGCTAAAATCTATAAGGTAAAAATATTTCCCCCCCTTTTTTTTGTAAGGTAATGAGACTTGTCATAAATGTTTTCCTGTGTTTTATAGATTTTGAATGTAGGGAAAATGACATATTTGATGACTCAGAAAGCATGGAATAACTTACAGCACATTTCTCGGTCTGATTACTTTTAGACTTGAAGTGGTCATGCTAATTTGATGCTTCATCTGTATCTATACATACATATATGCACACATATAGTTACTCTTGGTTCATGTGGTTTTCTCTTGGGTTTTAGAAATAAGTACAAGTGGTTCAAAGGTAATTATATTTGCTGTGCACTGGGTGTTTCTATTAACATTTGACTATGATAAAACATCAGCATCTGGTAATGTTAATGAAATGGAACTGTGATGATTCTATTATGAATTCTACATATTCGTATCTTTTTCGACGTCTCAACTCCTGGGCCATGCTTGAGAATCTCTATCATATGTTCCAGCATCATATTAAAATAAAATTGGCTTTTCCCTATCTTATTGCAAATAAAATTTAGTAATCAGAGCTCTTGATGGAGTGATTGTTAACCAGTAATTTATTTAGCAAGAAAATAATGAAATTAAGTAATAGTCAAAAAGCACTTTTGAAAGTCAGGTTATGCTCATCAATTTTGTGCCTTTGCCAGATGGAGTAGTTAGTTGAATTAGAATGAAGATCACTGGGGAATGTCTACTAATGGTCCTAATCAGTAATGTTTCCATGGTTCCTTTTGGGTAAAAATTTGGCCATCCATTTGCCTTTCATGACTTTCATAATGAATTATGTTGTTCTGACTTAAAGATTTCCATTATTATTTATTCTTTGATTTAACAATTATTTTTGAGTATTTTTACTATCTGCCAGGCACTGTTGTAGGCAACGGGGATATAACAGTAGACTGTTAAAACAACTCTTTACTGTCAGATAGCCTACATTCTTGATGGCCAGAAAGTTATCAGAACTTACATTATGGAAGAATACATGCTTCTACATTGATTAGCATCTTAAGAGTCAAAAGAATACCTTTTCTTTCATTTGCTTTTTAGTTATTTACCAGCAGGTAACCAATTACCTGCACGGTAAAGTTAGCATATTTACTGGTTTATTTTGCTTTTGTACCTTGTAAGCACGCTGGGAATATTAAAGAAGCTGCGAGGTGGATGGATGAGGCCCAGGCATTGGACACAGCAGACAGATTTATCAACTCCAAATGTGCAAAATATATGCTAAAAGCCAATCTGATTAAAGAAGCTGAAGAAATGTGCTCCAAGTTTACAAGGGTTTGTACAGCTAGTTTTCTTATAAATAAACAGGACATGAGCGAGTTCATTCTTGTATCCCTTGCTCATTTTTCAAAGTTTGTCTTTAATGTTTTTAATATGAAAATAGTCCAGATTTTTTTTAATGTCCCCAGCTGCTGAACAGATTTTAATTAAATAACTATATCAAAAAAAACTGGAACCAACATTAGTATAAAGCATTTTCTTTTTTGATGATTATACAATGGAATTTTAAACTCTGGTTTATATTGGTATATGTTCAGATGACTTTTTAGGGGTTAAGGGAACTAATATTTATTGAGTACCTGCTGTGTGCTAGTGTTTTATTTCTTATATTAATTCCTATCCCCAGTTCTATAGACCTTTTGTTTAATCACTTGAAAAACTACATAATAATTTTAGTGGTTAGAAAGATAATTTCAATTGCTCTCACATGTTAACTATTCCCTTTTACTCTAAGAATGGTTAATAAAATTAAATTATTTTGGAAGAATTCAAATCAGTTGAACATCTTGTTCTTAAATCCTGTGGTGGAATTATGTATTTGGTAAGAAATGGCCTTGAATATATATGATTTTCATATAGGAAGGAACTTCAGCAGTAGAGAATTTGAATGAAATGCAGTGCATGTGGTTCCAGACAGAATGTGCCCAGGCTTATAAAGCAATGAATAAATTTGGTGAAGCACTTAAGAAATGTCATGAGATTGAGAGAGTAAGTACCTCATACATATGAGTTTCTCATTTTATTCTGTTATACATTGAAGATTTTGGGCAAATTGTATATAGTTTTTTTCTCTTCTCCCTCTTTATAATTCACAGATGGTTTTTAAAATCAGTATTCACTTTTTTCAATTTTCATAATGGAAATATAGACTGTATTTTCAGCCAAACTGTTCTATTGTTTATTCTTCCTGTAAAAATTCTTCTTAAAAACTTTTGGAATTTTGTGTCTTGGCTATGTTTTTATTGATTTTTTTTAACCTTTTTTTTTTTTCCAAATTGTTGCTGCTTCTTTAGTAATACTTGCAAAGCTTATTAAGTAATCCTAGAAGCCTGTTTATTGTGGGGTTGATTAGTGATGCTATATACCCTTGATAAGGTATCAGCTTTGACACCTTTTCATGTTTCTGTAGCCTATATAATTCCTCATTTTCTGATAAAGTCATTGTTTTTTTTAATCCTCTTTGCTTTTGATTCATTTCTATGACCAATAGTTGGCTTCCTTTTTTGTGTGTTTTTCACAGATGAACATAGTTTATATAATTAATTTCACATTTATATTATAGTCAACTGTAGAACATCAGAGTTTAGTTGAAATTTGTAAGTTCTTGGTTGCTTGACTTACTTGCTAATTGATTTCTTTCTCCCATATCAGCATCACATTGCATAAGATTCAGATTTGTATCCTCAAAAATTATAAATACTACATATTATAATCCTTTGCAAATTGTTCTAAATATAAAAACTCAATGTTCAACATGTGAATCTACTGTATTGTACCATCATGTATACTAATAAATTATTTTTGATGTTGTCATAATAGCTTTATTTAAGTATAATTAAGGAAGAAAAAAATATATATATCTATTAAAGCTTCCCTTACGTTCAGCAAATAATTTAGTGCTAGCTGTATGCCATATCCTGTGCTAGGTGATGGCCAACTGTGTTTACTTATTTGAAATGCAAAGTATTTATAGATGTTGCTATACTTCAGTATAATAATAAAAAGATAATTTTGTTAGCATTTTATAGAAATCACTGATGACCAGTTTGACTTTCATACATACTGTATGAGGAAGATTACCCTTAGATCCTATGTGGACTTATTAAAACTAGAAGATGTACTTCGACAACATCCATTTTACTTCAAGGCAGCAAGAATTGCTATAGAGATCTATTTGAAACTTCATGATAACCCCCTCACAGATGAGAATAAAGAGCATGAAGCTGATACAGGTATGATATTTAAAGATTTCTCATTATTTGCTCTGGTGTGTATATCTGTATTTATGTTTTTGAATAATATACATTTTTCTTGATCTTCTTATTGAGCACCTTGTGGGAAGATGTTATACAAGGTTATAAAATGATGGTTATTTTGTGAATTTCTCTAAGCAACAAAAGAAAAATTTTGTTTACCTTTATACTTTCAAAATAAGTTAAATAAGCATTTGATTTGTAATTGCTCATTTTGGCATTTAAGAAGTTTGTATTTGATTCGTTTTACATTTAATATCTGGTTTACCCAATATTATAAATTGCTAACTACAGTACTATAAATTGCTAACTATTAGTATGGGACTGTACATTAGCATTGGCTGTTATATAACTAGCTATTCCTTTTTTAAATAGTAATTTATAAGTAAGCAACTAAAAGGTGAATATTGCTTAGACATTAAAAACCAGTTTGGAATTAAGCTAGGAAAATTGCCCAGTGACTTATCATTTGACCTATTTTTAATGTACCATTTTTGTAGCAGAGTGTCAGGGTGATTAGGGAGAAGTCTTCACTAGACAGTTATTTGGGAAAGAATTTCAGAATAAAACTAATCTTGTATGTAGAAGGATATAAATTAATTGTATGTCCATATATTTTGTGACTCAGTCATGGCAAAAATGTTGTAAGAGTTGGGGCATAAAAAGTGTTGGATTTTTTTTCTTTAGTCCTTAGTTTATTCCTCTTTTGAGGATATTACTGGTTACTTTCTATGTCCTTCCACCTGCTAAAGAACTTTGAAACTATTTTGTTAATATGTTGTTAATTTTTACTTCCTCTTGCCTAAGGACAGTTTAGAACTTTCTAAGGTCAAATAGTGAGACGCTTGTATAGATTTCCTTGAATCTATTCCTACCTATTGGTCCTCCTTCAGCTTGGAAGAAAATACTAAAAGGAGGAATCTGCTGGACAATTTGTAGTTAAAATTGAGAACTATGACCCTCTGGCTTCTTTTGTTTACCCTTTTTTTCTCTCCTGGTTACATCCTCTTCTTCAAATTATACAAATAATCCACAATTAAGTCTGATTATACAAAGTTGAGACAGTATAGAAATACACCTAGGAGATATGAAAATCTTCTTTAACTTTTCTACCACCCATTCTCCTTTCCAGAAGTTATCCCTGTGAAAGGGTCAATTCCGTTTATGCACAAGTACAATTTTCAGAGTTTTATGTGTATGTATACTATGCACATGTTTCAGGGTGGTTCTTGGCAAGTTTTTTTTTTTTTAAGTCCATAAATGGGATTATAACCTACTCGGTGTTCTGCAGCCTATACTTCTTATCCCGCAATTAATAGTGCTGCTCAGTATTTGTATACTTATCCAAGTGACATTTTAATGGCTATATAAGAATCTATGTGAATTTTTTCACCCATTATAGTGCTATAGTAAACATCTTTATACATCATTATGCACATGTTTATTTAGCATGGATTGTTACAAGTGGAAATTGCCGGGTCGTAGAGTATGATTATTTGAAATAGTGTCAAATTACCTTCCATAAAG